GGGGGGGGTACGCCTATACGTTACACTAGATAGTTATACCTCTAATCATCCGCTTATATGACCTATTTTTTGCCAAGCGTCGTGAAACTCTTACTAAAACTTAACCTTTGGGTTGAAAACGGAAACTGGACCATTTGAAGGAACAGGAGTATCGTGTCATTGGTCTTGAAGTCAAAATAGTATTTCAAGGGCGGTAACTATGAATAATATTATTAAAACGCTTATATCCCTTGGAAATATTTCTACATTCTGCAATATTATTCAGCCGGTAAATCTACGCAAAAACTGCATCCATGAGTGGCTTATCATTAATTTAGATGTGTGTGTGTGTGTGTGTGTGTGTGTGTGTGTGTGTGTGTGTGTGTGTGTGTGTGTGTGTGTGTGCATGAATGTTAATATTTTTTCAGTAAATGTGTTGCTTTAAAAAAAAGAACCAAGATGTACATTAGAATACTCACCAGGGGCATACAGTTTGGTGACCGTGTCACATGACTTCTGCTCCATGGACGACACCGGAAGCAGGCATGACGCTGTAACCAGGCAACAGAAGAGTAGATGCACTGCAAACATCCTCGTTCCGTAGGATCGGAGTCCACTGTCAAAAGTCGAAGATAATCCACAAGCAGACACCATCGTTCTTGTTTTTTCTCTCTCGTTTTGCTTATCTGAAAGATAGTTTTCTCTCTTTTTTATACAGAAACGGTAATCTCTGTCGATTACAAAAAGTACTTTCTTTATAATTTCTTTCAGAGATACCTTTCTAAAAAGTTTTCTTTGTATTTCTCAGACGTGGTATTCTCATTCGCGTCTTGAAAAGAGATAAGCAACAGGCTCCTGCCAGCGCACTAGAGGTGAGCGGCGGTGAATGCAACTACCCGGGGTAGCCCTGGAAGAACAACAGTATACCTGACCAGCTGACCAATACACGTGCCCCGCGCTCAAGGGGATCAATCAGAGCCGGTCACACAGGCGAGCGAGCACCGCAGTAGCCTGCTACGTACACACACTCACGCGCGCGCGCTCACGCTTAGCCTCTTGTCTCTTTTCGGGCTTCACCTCAAGTTGTGTGTGTACTGTTCCTATCCACAAAAGACAGAATACCTTCGCAGCTTTTCTTGACTCGCCTCCAAAGATTCCCTGTGAGTTTTACAGTGTGTGATAATTTTCTGTTCACCACAATCTACAAAACAAGAATGAGTCAGCTGTCCTGTTCAGCTCCAATGCCGAGAGCTAGATGACTGTTGCCAGGCCGTTCGAAAGCCAAACTAAAGAACAAACAGTTGTAAGTGACTCTTAAAAACACAAAGTAAAAATTACAAAGTGTTGTCTGCCTCCAGCTGAGAAACGCGTTACATGCGCACGGCTATCCCAGTAGAAGCGAGCACCCAATTGGATAACAGTAAACAAATCGACTCCGGTTATTCTTATCCACACACGTACGGAAATATCTTTGGCCTGTTCCCGACAGCTAGGGAGGCAGTTGTGCTGTTGCTGGGTGATGAGAGAAGCCGATACTATCGTCGGCCTTTTCCGTTCTCTTTGATATTCACGTAGAAGCGATCGAATTCCTGTGAAAGAGATAAAAAAACAAAATGCAAATTAAGTAAGCTCTCGGATTAATAAATATGCTTCGTTACACCTTTTTAATCCACAAGTACGCGTACATTGGGGCGCCGTAATATGTATGTGCCTCGCAACGTCGCACCTCCATCGGATAAAACAAAGAATGAGCTGTGCCGTGTCGAGCTCGGAATGTTTAGATCGTGTCTAAAAGCATGCGTCTGCATAATAATAACACTGCATACTGAATACATGTAGTCGTTTTACTTCTTGTTTTTAACTGTGGCTTGTTAAAATCCATTTATTTTTAATAGCCCATTAAAATCGACTGAAACAAATTAAAAAACAAAAACAGGTAATGTTTGATGGACAGCCTGACACGAGCAGGGACCCTAACAGAGAGGTAATATACGAGATTATCTGGTTTGGAGACAGACAGACAGACAGACAGACAGACAGACAGACAGACAGACAGACAGACAGACAGTAAGACAGTAAGACAGACAGTAAGACAGACAGACAGACGGACGGACAGACGGACGGACGGATAGATGGATGGATGGCCGGATGGACGGAAAGATGGGTCGATTGATGGATGGACGGATGGATGGATGGACGGGTGAAGATAGACATGGAGAGCGATAAATAAAGAAAGAGAACGAGACAGAGAGAGAAAGAGAGAGAGAGAAAGATAGAGAGGGAGAGAGAGAGAGAGAGAGAGAGAGAGAGAGAGAGAGAGAGAGAGAAAGAGAGAGACAGAGAGAGAGGGAGATTGGTGGAGGCGGAAGCGACTGAATTAAGCTATAATTTTGTTTTAAATGGGCAGTGGGTTTCACTGTCAACACTTAGTATCCCTACTGACACAATGTAAGCTAAGCAGAACGGGGTCTGGTTAATCTCTGATTGGACAAGGCTGGGTTGGGTGGGGTACGTCCCAGCAAAAAAAAAAAAAAAAAATCTTGAAAAATGTGTCTCCCGAGATGGAACCGGACTCAAACCTTTAGCGAGCTAGACACGTATGGTGGGGTTTGGAGGGGGGGGGGGGGTTAACAATTACACAACAGATTGACGACATACTACTTAGTGATTAGTGATTTAGTTTCAGTAAGTGTTTTACGGCACTTGCAACACAATAAGGTCAAAAAAGTGCAGAAGATTAGAGGTGTTACAAGAGAGTAACCAACACAAAAAAGGAGGGGAGATAAAGACGATAGATGTTTGATAGGAAAGAAGAAGAAAACCATTCCAGAGCACCCGCCAACCACCCACTGTGATTAGTGTGAGACTCCGCCATGCGTCAATTTGAAAAGCGGCGTGTATGGCAGAGTCTTACACTCAGCAGTGGAGATGTCAGTGGAGAAAAGTCTTAAACAAGATCACGTTTACATAAGGTGGCAGTCGACAGCTGCTACGGCAGCCGAAAGATCGCCTCGTGTAAACACAGTGAGGTGTCAGGCGAGTCTTTGTCGGGTAATTAAGGAGCACATTGATCAACCCTATTATTGTCTGGTGAGTGGCGAGTTCAAAGTCGTTGACGACAAGTATCCCGAAAGCTCCAGAACACGTAAACAGCCCGCAAGTAGAAAAAAGAGACATGTTACGGGCAACCAAATATTTACGCGCTTTACTTCAAGTTAAGCTGTTGATGAAGACGTTAAAATTTTGCATAGCACCTTTTTTTTTTGGGGGGGGGGGTAATTTTCTATTCGTTTACGGTGTTAGCACGCGCTTGGGTGCTCAGTTATGGGACATTCTACCTTGTCTAATTTGGCTGGTTTGTTCACAATAAGAGCATCCGAGCACAGAGTTGATTTGCCAAACACGATAGCCGGTGTCTTCTTCAGATCTGGCACTTCGTCACGATGATGATGTTCAAACAAATGGATTGACATTTTGAGGCAAAGTAAGCCCTTATCAGTTTCGAAGTACTCAAATATCTGACACTCGGCCCGCCCTCAAGCCTAACTGAACAAAATTTCAGCGTGTGAGTACTATCGACACGTAATGGGTTACCCCTGGCAACCGTTGCACTGCACGCCACAGGCCAAAGCTATAAAAGAAAACATCATCCAGAAAAAAAATTGAGTTGCATCAAAGATCGGGTGGTTTACTCTACAGTCTGAGATATAATAATAACAAACCACATGCAACAGCGGCAGAGCATACTTCTATGCTATTGTGCTTCAGACAGCAAACCTATTTATCAGGCATTAAAGGAGTGGAAACAAATATTGCTATTTTTTTTTTTTAAACTGTACCTGAGAAAGAAGACAAAACGCTTTTATCAGCGGGTTGCTTTCACGTCATCGAGAACAGACATATATTTGTGCACTCTTCTTTGCGGTGTGTTTCATTCAGCAGTACACAATATTCTACAGCTAGAAACCATACGAAAACACCCTCAGTTCTATATTTCATCAATGTGAAGTATGCGTGGAGAGAGGCATGCACATCCACTATGAATTTTGCTTTCCATTTTACTTTTACTTTTAATGACCGCCCTATACTGATTTTCCTATGCATTATATCTGACGTATGGGTCTTCCAAAACACTTCTATGCCTGCTCCCAGGGACCTTCAACATGAAAGCTTTCTTTTAGGTAAAGAATAAAAATCAGAAAAGAAAGGAAACGAACGAGTGGAAGCACTCCACCAACAAGCCGATAATGAACTATTCTACATTGAAACACAGCGAGCGGCAAAAGCAAAACAGAATATTTTCAAATACCTAAGCAAAACGTAAATGGGTCTAAAAAGAAGGCCACAAAAACTGGTGCAGAAAGAAAGCCATCGGGTGGAATCACGAAACTGACAGGCTGACAACTGGAGCAAAAACAACATGTTCCCAAACATTTCCAGGCAGGAGGAAACAAAACTTTAATGCTGGGTCCTTAAGAGAATCACAAAAAAACAAATTGTGGGGTAAAAGAATATTTGAATGTGGATTCAATTTTAGTAGCATTCTGTGAAAAAAAGGTCAACAGCGGTTGGTAGCCGAAAGCGGACTACAAAAAGCAAACTTTCGTCAGGATTTGAAAACTAGTATAAAGCAAGCCTTTTTTAAAGTCCATCCAAGCGAATTTCAGAAATAGAAGAGCACGGTGTACTGGAAAGCCAACCCAGTTACCATGAAATCTCCGAGGCTTAAGGACAACAGAATAATAACGGCTCTAAAAGAAGGTCACTAGAAACAGGTTAAGATGGAAAGCTGACGTAGAGAATCATTTGATTGACGGGACGGTAATGGACCAGTTGACCCATTTTCTTGGGACTGTGAACGACACCATCACCACGACCCGTCCCCAAACAACAATAGCAGCGACAGTAGTATCAGCATTAACAACAACAACAACAACAACAACAACAACAACAACAGCAATATTAAAGGCAACAACAAAAACAACATATTGACTCCCCCGAAGGTTGATCATAAAGAACCAAAAAGAAGAAGAAAAGAAAACCTAAAATAAAGCAAGGGAGTGGGGCTGGATTACTCAATAGCCAGGCTTGTAATGCAGTGGTCCGGGGCGAGGCACCGCCCTAGGCTGGCAGTAAAACAATTCATGTCAGTATTTGCCAGATTCGCTCCCCGCTGGCGGATTTTGAGCAGGCGTCGCAGGGAAGTCCAGAGGCATTAGCGGGGACTGGCGCTAAATGAGATGGTTTTAGCGCTCTGAATGGAAAATATTAAGTCTTGTTTTGTGTGGGTCACGGAATGCTCTGTCTATTGATTTGCGTGAATTCGGCGCTTGGGAAGGGGCGACAGGGACGGGAAAGAGGAGAATACAAGAGGGCGGAACATGTTTGTCAGAGGGAAACACTTTCTCTCGTCGCGAGCATCTGCTCCTTCCCTGAACAGT